CCTCACTGCCAACCCGCAACCCCCCGTCCCCCATACGCCCCCTCCCCAATAACTTTCTCTGGGCCTCTGCAGGAGCCGTGGGAAAGAGACGGAAAGACCCCAGCCCCATGGCCACGTCCGGTAAGAGAGAGGGGGTTATGGGGTGTGGGGGCCTGTCTGCACATCCCTCCAGCTGGTGCCCCTCACTCCCGACCCGCAGCCCCCGCCCCCACCTCCCCTGGAGAATAGCAGGCACTGGGAATGTAGCTGAACCAGCCTCTGATTCTCCCTCCCCCCAACCCCGACCGAGGCCTGACGCACTCATGACACTAATAGTCCTCCCCTCCACCTCCATTTAGCACTTAAAAAAAACGACAGGGGCCCCTTCAGAGTGGGGGAAGGAGTCCCTGCACCTTTAAGAGGCCGGACTTCAAGGTGGTGGTTGGGGGATAGAGTCTTTGTCCCTTTAAGAGAAGGGGCTATGATGAGGAAGGTTCTAGCCCTTTAAGACCCCCAGCCTGGCCGCAAGGCATTCTGGGGCCTGTAGTGCCCAAAGGAGCTCAGCTTTCCCAGCCTGCCTTGCTTGGAGTACCCCCTCCCCTCTGCATCCCACCCCCCTGCCTCGAATGCTGGTAGGACTACAAGTCCCACAATGTCTCGGAATAGGTAGCCCCGCCCCTTCCTGACTTTAAAGGGACAGTAGCATGGGGGGGAGGGTCCTCTCTCACCTGGTCTCTGTCTGGTTGCAGGTTACCCTGCCCCCCAGCTCGGTTACGGCCCCACCCCTGTCCCTCCGCCTGGCCCCGCCCCTGGCTTCAGCATCTACCCCCCTCACACCTTGCCCTCGGGGTATGGGGGACCCCCACCACCCCACCCCCAGGGCCCCAGCGCCCCATACCTGCCAGGGGTCCCGCCAGGGCTGGAGGAGCTGGCGCAGGTAAGCTGGGGGGGAAGAGGGGAGGTGTTCAAGTCAGCCAGGCTCACCCCAGAGCTGGCTGCATCTTGGGGGGGGGGGGGCTGGTTGAT